AGTGAAACTTCATCAATTATGGTTGAGAAATCTTGAAATTTAGCTGCGAAATCTGTCATCTTTTTAAAGGATTCCTCGCCAACTGATAAACTTGACTTTTTAAATTCTTCAAACTGAGCTTGAGTAAATTCTAGCGAATTTTTAAGATCTTGAACAGTTCGAATAATTTGATCTAATCGCTGGTTCGTATTATCCATGTAAACTGACAAAAAACTTTTAATACTAGATTCTTGTACTTTAAGAAGCTCTTTTACAACCGACAAAGAAATCATATCCATATCAGTATCTTTAGAACTTTGATTATTAACGGAGCTAGGTTTCGAGCGTGTGGCCGCCATTTTGCATAACTGAGCTCTGTATCATTCGTGATATTATATCATTCGTGATACAACAGGTATCACGAATGTAATAATCAATATTAAAATACATGTAGTTATGCAAGGCGGGAGCTTTGCAGTATATAATTGCTCCAGGTATGAACCATGCTGAATAGTCAAATTAGCGAGCTAAAGAATTCATTGACCGATGACAAATAATGACAAAGCAAATAATGACTTTGAAGAAATTTCTATAAATGTTTAAGACGTTTACTGTTAATCCTAGTTTCCATTTGGTCGTTAGTTGTCGCTGGCACAACAAGTGGCTGATGTAATAGAGTGTCAACAAAACTTTATATTACACACAAGAAGACTATTATTATATTAGATTATTTCACATCTACCGCTTGTCGTGCCAGCGACAACTAACGACCAAATGGAAACTAGGCTTTAGATGTACATCCAGGCTCTAATTCAAGAAAAATTAGGTAGATACATTTACCCTAATCACTACAAATGTTTAAGTTGCTAACTGTTAAAAGTACTCCCAGACTCTGTTCTCAGAGTACATTGGGATACACTGAAAGCTTTAGAAAAACAAAAGTATGGCTACTGTCAATACTGACACTCGTTATCACTTTCAAAATGTTTGATAAAAATTGGCGAGAAGATACGGTAGTCTCAGTCAGGGCCGCCGAGAGAAATCGCGAGTCCCGGGGCAAAACTTCTCTGGGGCCCCCATGATTAATTAAGCTAGACTGAAGTCAGTCACCCAAATAGACCTTAGCTAGAGTGACTGCAAGTGGAGCTACTGTAAGGGGCCTTCAATTTCAAAAATGCTCTGCCCAATTTAAAGCCTGAACCTACTAAATTTAAGCTCTCGCTCTCAAGTTGGGGTCCTATTAAGGTGAGGGCCCAGGATAATTTCCCCCTCCCCCCTCTAGGCGGCTCTGGTCTCAGTTCAGGACGGAATCATAGAAACCGCATGTGTTGAGTAAACGGTAATTTTTTAAAGTTATTCTGTGCGACAGTGATATAAGAAATAACCTGAATGTCAGCCCTTTCGAAAAAAATAAAGGCCTCAGGAAAGACTAGTCAAAAGCCTGGGGCATTTTGTGGCCACCGTCCATATTATGGCCGATGAATGGCTTGTCTGTCTAATTTAAGTAACGTTGTTTGATTGGTTGTTATCAAATATGTTGGCTAAAGTCAAATATACTTTAAAATAAATTAAACCATGTGGCGAAACATTTTATATTTAAAAAATATTTAACTGTTTTGGGCGGCGTACTGGCAGACAAGTGCTTCAACGGTTTGTTATATTACTATACATTTATACATAATGTACAGGTTGACAACTTTCCACGAACATTTCTTGCAAACCGATTTTCTGGAGGAGTCGCCGTTATGTAACACCACGTTACCATGCACCCCTGCCCCAAGGGGCATGTTACATATAGGGGTATATAACAAACATACTTGCAGGGAGGTGAGTCCGGGATTGAACGTACTGAGGGTGACTCGAAGTTTTCCGAACCCACCAAGCGAAGCGAGGTAGGTTTGGGAAACTTCCAGCCTCCCGAGGTGCGTCCAATCCTGGACTCGCCGAACCTGCAAGTATGTTTGGTTTTTATCACATGCCATTTCGGTAAAATATTAAAAAGTACTGACAGAGTAACAGAAGAATTTGCCCATTTTAGTATATAATTTCTTGTTTGGATAACGAACATTTTAGCCGCCAACATACTACGCAAACAAACAAACTTAGGGTTAAATTGAAGCTAAAAAAATTATCTACAATATTCCCTTATTCTTGAAAAGAGAAAATGCACATATTCTGCGAAAACATTGCCAAGATCCATATAAACCTGCCCGTACCGAACAAATTTCGGCGGACATCTTTCTTCTCTTCCACCTTGAATACATAATATTCCATTTTTATCAAACAAAATAAAAAAATAATAATTATAAAACAATTAAAAACAGTTAAGTTAATTTATTTTATATTTAAATCTTTGTCTGAAATTTGTTGAATTCGCTTCATAATGGCCGCCGCCAAATCATCGATCTCGAACCCATAGAGATTATAAATAACACTAGAGGAGGAATTGTAATCTTAATTAAGTCAAAGAAAGGAAACGCGACTATTGGGGGGCAAATTCAAGTCCTGAATGAGTATTCATGTGTCTATGTTATTTAGTGCAAAGCCTCCGCCTTGCATATATAACTATACATGTATTTTAATATTGATTATTGCATTCGTAATACCTTGGTGTAATACCCTGTTGTAATTACCTTGTTGTTATGCGTTGGGATTTCCGTATAATATATCGCGGGTAAGGCATCAGCACAAGCTCTGTGCATTTCTTATATTATTATGTTGCATTCATACTGTTTTCATCCAGAAATCAACACCACAGTGATGGCATTTTACTACGGGAGAAAAAAAACCCAACACAATTCTCTATGACCTTGCATATACTAACTAAAATGAAATTACAATGGAATTGGAATTTACCGTGTACTAAGTCTATGAATTGTGTCTCCGAAATAACGAATTATGTTAGGGCAATGAAACAGTCCGCATTTTATCCTTTCCCCCGCATTTTATCCTTCTTGTCCGCATCCGCATTTTATCCTTTTTGTCCGCATCCGCATTTTATCCCTTTTGTTCGCATCCGTATTTTATCCCTTTTGTCCGCATCCGCATTTTATCCTTTTTGTCCGTCCGTCTGCAAACGTACGATGTTATGAAATGCATGTACGTTATTACTTATTAATAATATGCATGAAAAAGTGATGCAGTCACATGCGCAAGTCACTTTTAGAAACTAAGAAAATTGAAAAATAAAAATTAAAAGAAAATTGACAAAATTTAGAAAATTAAGAAATTTCCACTGACACTGTATTTCAATTTTTGGCACTGTATTTTCAAAAAATTGCACTGTTGTTAGCCAATCAGAATTTATAATTTTTTTCATATACAGTATATTATTTATAAATTTATAATCTACAACAATTAAATTTTCAGATATTGTTATTGAATATTGCCATAAAATTTCGAAAATGATAAAACAATGTTTGAACTCAGTTGTCCCAAAATATCATGATTTGTCAGTGGCTCGCAGATCAATTATTTGTCTCTGCCTTCGGCATGGATATCGCATGCATGCAGTCATCTGCTGGTCAGACAGAGTAACATAACCAAGCAGCATGGTGCGAATTAACTTTTGTTTTCTGTTCTACAATTATTTTCAAACATCTTAGGCCATATTAGGTTTGAGCCGCAAATTCCAATTTTGTCCAACAATTTTTTCTCCAATATTCCTTTGTATGATATGAAGGGCTGCTGAGAGATTCGCGCGTTGTGCGGGCCTGGGAGAAGACTTCCCCATGGCGCGCCCCTGATGCACACTAAAATGTCGCTAAAAACGTCATACGAGGCAGACAACTGAACTATTTTATCGACTCAAACACTAAACAACGCTCGTCAACAACGATTGAACAGGCATTAATTCCATGAATTTCGTCAGCTTAAATTAATTGTATATTCATTCTCTTATTAATATCCTTATCATATAGAGGTCAAAATTACTCAAATATGATTGGCTAATGAGGAGGGCATTTTTTCTTAATTCAGGGCAAAATTACTTGTACCTGATTGGCTGAGACGCAAACGCGCGAAGTTTCTTGTTTTAATTAAATAGCAATAAAAACAATGGTTGCTCGCTTTGTCGTCGCGGTTAATGATATATGTTAATTAAAAACTTCTAGTGAAACTTGAACACTAGAAAAAGTACAAATTTATTGGTTGGGGTATTTAGCTTAAGGAATGGGCAGGCAGGGCAGCATTAAGAAACATTGGCGAAGACATGGAGACATACATATACGAGGTTCAAGAACTTGACAAGTTCGCAATTATTAAACTTACGAATAAATTTTGCCCTCTATGATTAACAAGTAATCGCATAGTTCCTCGTAAAATTAAGGTTTAATTTCTCGTCGATTTGCGACTTGGGCAATTTGTGAAAGTTTGAAAACACGCGTGCCGAATTAAACCTTAATTTTGCTCGGCCCCATGCGATTACCTATACTAATTTTTAATTGGATTAAGGCTGGCTCACACCATCAAAGTTTCTGTGATCTTTGCATAGGTAAATTCTACGTTTTGAAGGATCTGTAAGACATGTTTGGGGGATTTGTTAAATACTGAGTCAGTTCCGTCAAACATTCCATAGAATTTATCTATGCAATTATCTATCTTTGATTCTGTAAACCAGCCTTTAGATGTTTATTGTATTTGACTTTGACGTCTAAAATACTAATAACTGATAATTATTGCCATTGTCTAATTGCCATCCACAGTAAAATGTGTATAAACTAACAGCAAGATACAGTACATGTACGCTTGACGTACCTGATTTTTAATCCCTTATTTTGCAATATTCCTGGGCAATTTTGATTTTTGACCCAATGAATTGCACATAGTTGACTATATTCAATGTTATACTTCCAACAGTGTTTCAATCAGCATATGTCGATTTGGCTACAGCTTCTAAAATTTTGAAAGGTAAACCTGAATACATACGTCAAATGATTGAGTGGTTGGCTGAACAAAATTTTGAGTGGCGTCTATGTTACAGAGCATCGTTGGATGGTTGGAAAGCAAAAGACTTCCATTCAAAGTGTGACAACAAAGGCCCAACTGTGGTTTTTGTGAAAGTTGGTAATTTTATTTTTGGTGGATTTACTGATAGAAATTGGTCAACAATGAAAGGTGCAGTCTTTTAATTTAATTTTAATTAATTTTAATTTTAATTACACTGGCCTGTAGGCCAAGTGTCTTAAATCCCTCTTTTTTGGTTTTTTGGAACTCGAGAAATGGAGTTTGCGTTAGCTCATCGCAGGCTCAGGGTGCAACGATTAAGCCAAAATGCCATCGATTCCCTCGGTTCCATGATTGAGGTAGTATAGTAATAAGCTCGTATTTATGTACGTAATAGTCGACTCGTGCCATGCTTGTGGTACATTTTTCGTTTATTAGCCCATACACTTGTACGCACGCGCACAATTCCGAACTCCAACGGCGACTTTTCACAGAGTGATCAAACTGTATTTTACACAGTTTCGTTGAATTTTCAAAGAATTGTGCCGGTTTCCTATGTATTTTACGTTGTGTCGTACTCTGGACTTTCTTGCGTGTTGAATTAATGTGTTTTTCTTTGTGTAACGACTCGAAAACCACAAAATTTGGACCCAGCGAATTTATACAATATATCGGAAGGATATTTAAACAATTAAGGACAGGTTAAAGGTTTGACAGTTTGACTTTTTAATAAACAACTGTAAATCTACGTCATGGACTCATAACATCCGTTGTGTACTTGTGTTAATTTTTGCATCGCACTCTGGACTTTCTTGCCTGTTGAATTAATGTTTTTCTTTTTGTATTAAATTAAACGACTCGAAAACCCCACAATTTCATAAATTTGTACCCAGCGAATTTATACAATATTTAACAATTATTCGCCGAAGGCGAAGTGATTACCGGTGAATATTTACCGAGACGAAGTCGAGGTGAATATTCACCGTAATCACTGAGCCTGAGGCGAATAATTGTTTTAGTATAAATTTTTAATGAATAAAACAAAATATCCAAGTTATCCAACTATAAATTTAATTAAAATTCAGAAATAAAACTGTTTTCGACCGGTTTACGGTTTAGTGTTGCAGTGTTTCTTGTACACGCACGCTTTCAAAATGGCTTCCTGTGCGACTTTATTGCTTTATTACAAAGTTATTTTTCTCGATTTCTGCTTAGAATATAAACACAATGATGGAATGACTTTTTACCAGACTTAGAATTAAAAAATAGTTTCTGTTTAGCATTAATTTGTTCAGGAAATGGCTGAGAAATTTGGTAAAATGAAATGTAAAACTATATCGTTCAAATTAATATAAAAGTTTTAATACACTTTTCACTTTACAAGTTTTAAAACACAAATAGTACAATACAGCGAAAGGACACCATACAGCACAATGAAAACACGACATAGTCAAAAGAAATAGTATCGTACAAATTGAGATATTTATAGGAACAAAACAAAATTGTTTTAAAAAGAATATCACGGCTTTTCCCAAAAGTCTGGATATTTTTTGCTATTTCAGATTTACGTTTGAAGCGAATGTTTCGGAGTTTTAAATAAGTTTTAAATTGTCCGTGAATATGTTTGACACAGTAATATAATACTAAATCCTACCTTTCAAGTTAAATACAACATTTTGTGCTTTTTTTCTTTTTCTGGGACGATTTTTTCAATATTTTGTCGACTTTGAAACCAAATTTGCCGAATCACTCTTTTTGAAAAGCATTATTTACTACCCAGGTGGTAAATAATAGTGATGGGCGATTACCGACTACTTGGTATCGATACCACCCGATACCAGGCCCAAACAGGAAGTAGTCGATACTGCACGGTATCGAAAAAGTGTTTCGATTACTTTTAAAATTAGACATTCGTATAATCCTGCAGTTGTGTCATCGTTTTCATGGTTATTTCTAATAAAATTTATGTACTTTTTTGTATTTTGCTGCATTTATCAATTTAATCAAACTTCCTTTATACTTTATTTGACATTCTATCCTCATCGACAGAATAAATTATGAAAAAGGCGGGAAATAAAGTAGTTTTTGTTTTTTTGTGGATTAACATGGCGGATCAAATCGTTACTGTTAAAAATATGTAACTTTTTGAAAATATATCGTTACTGTTACAGTAGAAGGCTACTTCTTTAACAGTCGGCTCTTTATTAAGTGACTTACATTTATTATTTTGAAAATCGGAGGAAGTAATCGTTTGGGTAATCGATACCTCGATACTTTAACCAAAAAGTAATCGGTATCGTATCGAAACCGATACTGTCGGTAACGCCCATCACTAGTAAATAATGCCTCAGATTTACTAGTCAACTAGCCAATCAGAACGCGCGAAAGCTCATTTGATATGCAAAATTTATACTAAATTGGAATATAAACAAGGACAAACTCTCCTAATTCCTTGCGATAGTTTTAGTCAAATGTCGACAATATAACTTTAATTAAATACATGTATTAAAATCCGCGCAGTAACTAGAATTAAGAGAATTCGCGTAGCGCTGGCCGCTGGGTGCGGAAATTTTATTACTGCGCGAAATATGTAGCTATACTAAAGATAAAGCGTGCGTTCAAAATACCAACAAGAACTAGAACCATTATTGTATGGTTCTCATTTGCTAGACTTGCCACAAGTCGACATCGAAGAAACGCATTTCGTTCGAGGTCGACTTGGGGCAAGTCTACTCATTTGCCTAATACAATAACACTAGTTTGACGCGAATTTTAATACAAGTATGGTATCATATTTCATAATGTAACAAACAATGTAAACTAGCCATACATTTTGCCGAACATAACTACGGCCCCTTTGGACATATCTTTTTCGTAATAATATTATTGGAACCGGAATCGAAAACACTATTTATAGTGTTATTTTCAAGCTTGTGTCTTGAGATTTTCATCTTTTATTTCGGTATTTACAGAATATTTATATTTTTAGCGCG